GCGTCGGGGGCGGAGGCAGCGGCGGCGCCGCCCCCGGAGACGACCCGCGCGCCGGCCACTTCGCCGAGGAGCGCCGCCTCGTGCTGCTGCTCGGCTCCACCTCCATTCTGTTCCTGGTGTGCGTCTCGCCCATGGTCATCCTCAACGTGACGCTCAGCGACCGCAACCTCACGCTCTTCCCCTACCAGGTAGGACTCCCCCTCCTCACACACGTTGGCTACTTTGGTTGTTACACAATAGACGCTGTAACTCCCACAGCTGCTTCAAACGACTTTCGTGTTCTATGACTACCATTTTATCCGATGGATGTAGGTTCTCTAACACTCCTATCTTCCCGTACCAGGTGGGTCTCCCCCTCCGCACACACGTTGACTGCTTTGCTTGTAACTTGCCCCCAACATTTGCACACGCTTCAAACGACTTTCCTGTTCTATGAATACCATTTTATCCGATGGATGTAGGTTCTCTAACACTCCTCCCATACGTCAAGCGCGACGTGCCTTCCCGGCTTGCATCTTGCCCATGGTGATTCCCAATGTGATCCTTCCCGTACCAGATAAATGCCACGATGACTTATTTGGGTACTATACTAGACGCTGCACGTTCCTCCCGCAGTTTGAATACAGCGCCTTCAAACGACTTATAATTCCTTTACTATTTTCTCCGCTGGACGAAATTTTTCTACTGCTCCTGACTTTTGAAAACCCCGGCTTCTCTTTCCAGCTTGTATCTTTCTCATGATGATATCTGTGGTGATTCTTAGCAACAGCTATCTCAGTCCCTTCCTGTACATTACAAGTCGACCAGGTCACAGACATTGTCTCCTTTGGAGACGCTGGACGGATCTCATGTTCGTCGAGCGTGACATCTCGTCATTTTATACTACTTACGTAGTAAACAGAAAAAATGGAAGAAAATATAAAACCTCTAATAACGCAACGAAAAATAACGATTTTTTCTCAAAATAGCTGTTATTGTAGAGCCCTTATATCGAAAAAGGAATTAAATATTATTTCTATAAGTAGTAAATTACTTCCTGAAACACGTTGGGTAGTTATAATCCACTTTGTGTGGGTCGTTGATACCCAAAAATCGACTGACGGCAGAGCATACGTCCGTCTGTCTGATCGTGGTCAACGCCTAGGCGATTTTTTTCAAAACTGTTATTCTCCGATCTATCAGGTACAACTCAAAACATCGCGAATTTGATTTCGATTTTTGCGGTTCCTTTACTTGAAACTTTAAATTTTTAAACATTTTCTCATAAATGGCTTCAGAGTTTGCTCGAACGTCTAAAAGGACTTCCCTCGGACTTCAGAGGACGCTTTAAAAAAATTGAACAGATTACAATATCATTGAACTTCCAGAATTATAAAGATGCAAAGTTCAAACTGTTTTCAACGTTTTCCTGCAACTGCACAATTCAATATATAGATTTTTCCGGTTCTTCAAAGATATATTTTTTCATAATGACTTTGCACAATGTTTCGAAAATATGAGTAATATTCTCGTAATTTTGCGTGGAATGTAGGTCATTCTTAAGCAATATTTTTTCTCAAAACGTCTCCGGAAATTTTTCTTTGAACTTTTCCCTCAGATAGAGCCAAAAATAGCTTAAAAATACCAATGTTCGCTTTTTCTTATCGGCACTAGACAACTTTATAGGCAACTTTTCAGGCCAGGTCCTATTCTCGGCTTTTTTTTCATTTTCGAAAACTGCATATTTGTGATGCCTCTCCAGCACATACGCTCAGGCATTATTTGTAACTTCAAGATTTTCAAAATATTGATAGTATTCTACGAAAATCATACATGTGCATTTTTTTAATCGCCTTTTACTCTATCCGAGGAAAATTAAAGAATATGTATGGATTTTTTTAATGAATTGTTTTGTAAATTACTGCCTTTTCATTAGTAAATATTCACAAAACTACATGTTTCTTCAAAACCTTGTTCACAAACTTCTTTAAAGATCTATATTCAAACATATTTCATTAAAGAAAAGCTCTAAAACCAGTTGTAATTGTGTTTTTTATTTTATTTTCAATTTTCAAAAATACACAGTTCGTCAAAGTTGGGAACTGCTTCATTTTTAGGCGACCAGGACACTACAATGCAGGTTGTTCTGTTAGCAAATCTCATATTTTTGCATCGGCATTCCAATTCTTTCTCTTTACTACTTAAGTGCGGAGTATGGAAAGAATGTAAAAAGTGACAAAAAAGTGCAACATTAATGACGGAGAACTTTTCCTTAATGAAATATCTTCTAAAACTTATATCTTTCAATCAGGTGAGACACAATGTTTCGAAAAGACTTGTTTTTGCGTGATTTTTGTTTGAAATAAAAAATCTAAAGAACGGCTTCAAATTATCTCCTTATTTAGAGGAAAGGATGCATATAGACAGTGACGCAGGTCTCAATTCTGTTGAACTCTCTGAATTTACAATTGCGAAAAACTTCTAGTTAGGAATAATTAGAGAAAGTACATTCTATGACAGGAAGTGGTGAAGGGTTTATGAAAGCATCATCATATGAGAAAGTACGAGGCATAGTTTAGTCATACATGTTCAATTCAGGAAACAACTGTGTTTTCTTTACCGGGGCCCGCAGCCGCCTCAGAATCGCACTAAAAGTGGTCCACGGTGTGGCCGAAAAAAATGTCTGTTGAATTAAACGTAAGTGCCAAAATTACGCTTCGTAATTACTTCTATAGAGTATGTTCTTCTGTAGCACTACGTGTTCTGATGTGCGTGCAGCAATCGGTGATTGTCAACGTGATGCTTGCCATGTGTAAACAATTTCCTTTTTAGAATTGTACTGTAAGCGCTGCATATTCTTTCCATGATTTTAGACGGAAAATTCAAATCCCTTTTGTACTTTTTTACGTACTCTCGCCGAACAAGAGATCTCTATGACTGACATCTCTATTATTACTTCCCTTTCTGAGTTTCGCATCGCATAGGGTCATTCTCAACTGAACGTAATGTTAAACGAGTCCAATCGGAGTCTCTTTCCATAGCAAGAGAGTTCATCGGTTAAAACACTTCCTTTGGTATTCACTAGGAGCATTCCTCTCACAATATGTAGATGAGAAACCTCTCGACTAGATGTGGCATTTTGTGGATTCAACTAATATTTCCACCATCCATAGATGGTTAGGACGAGCAAGTATCACTGGCGAAATTAGTAATTACTATTTAACGTAGATACCATTCATTTTTTCCAACACAAAATAAAAATCCTCCATTGCAGTCACGTTGAAGAGTGTATACTTAAATCCGGATAAATGAAAATTGCAACCTCACATTAACATTTTCGTTGTGTTCAATTTTACCTGGGTACTTCATGTCACAATTCTTCCAAAATAAACCTATTGTAGAGAGTTTTATCTCTTTATCCCCATAATGGGCCACCAAAAAAGGGAAACTGAACAGCTTTTCAGCATTCGTTTTAAATGTAATGCACCACATGCAACATTCAGAGCTGTTATCACAGCAGCAAAAATCTACCAATGCTTTTATCCTCTCGTACCGATGGTCGCAACGCTGGAAACAAACTATTGTACTGTCAACATAAACTCTATTTGATTCTATGGGAATGTTCTTCTTTTGCTTTTCTATCTCTGCTTCATTTGTCGCTTCTCCGATATAAACGCCTCGAACGGTGCAATGGCGCTGCTGTGGTCTTTGGCGGTGAACTTCCACGAATAGCAGCGTAGGCAAGCTTTCACGCCAACTTCAGCAGAACGCAGTTCTCTATGACAGCCTTCGCACTAAGCTATTCGGACGCACCTCTTAGTAATTTTCATATGTTCTGCGTTGCGACGGTTACATATAAATAAATAAATAAATAGTCTTTATTGATGGTGAGGCTCAGGCCATTTATCCTGCTCTTCCACCTGACCGTAAATAAGGTTATGTGACTCACAAATCCTGTCCCTCGCTCATTGACGCAGGATGTGTGAGTGAAGGGTGTACAAGAAGCCCTTCTCGGTGGCGCAGCCGAGTGGCTCCGTGTGAAGGCTGCCTAACTAAAGGCGGCTCCACACATTTGGCATTCGCCTAGTAGCGACCTACTGCTCGCCCAATCCCGAACATGTGAACAGCTTGGCGAATGTTCGCTCCCTTTGATACGTCCTAAATACCGATTTGTGGTGGGTAGGGTGAATACCGAATGTTGGGCGCTCTGCGAATCCGTCCACACAATTCGGAATTCGGCGAGCGGTTGTCCGGGATTCGCCGAACGCCGCATGTGTGAAGGCTGCCTGACAGGAATGCCTTTGTGCGCAGGTGTTCCGCGCGGTGGCCAACCTGCTGGAGGTGACCAACTACTCGCTCACCTTCTACATCTACT